GAGGAGAAGCCGAGGCTGTAGGGCTGGTGCGACGCGAAAGGCGAAGAGAAGGAGATTTAAACCCTACCTTCCTTCGATCATCATGGGAAATGTGCGGTCCTTAGCGAACAAGATGGACGAACTGGGAGCATTGGTGAGGAGCCAGAGGGAGTATCGTGAATGCAGTATCATGTGTTTCACCGAGACGTGGCTGCAGGAACTTATTCCGGACTCGAACGTTACAATCGGCGGCTTTCAGACTGTGCGGGCGGACTCATACCTTACTGGGAAAGATTAGGAGGGAGTGATGAAAAATACTGCTTGTAACTTTGCATTGCCTTCAGAGGCTCTAGTTTGTGGAGCAGTTAAATGTTCCTGATTTGAGCAGAACTTGTGTAGCAGGCTCAGAGCGCGATTTGACACCCAAATCCCACAACTATGGATTTAGCCCCTGAATGAGAATCTTTGTCATTTCTAGGCATGTCTCAAGATATTGGTGCTACCATTCAGAATGCTAGCCCTAATATTATGGGTGGCCTACATTCCCATAATTGCCACAGTGGTATCTGGTCCATAGTAAGTAATCCTGTGGTTTTAGTAGTCTTTTATATGAGTGACAGTTATCATGTGCTTCGAAGGTGTACTTGGTTACACATCCACACTTTTGAAGGTTCTATTACCAGTCTCATACATGTAGGCAGGTAAATACTTCTCAAAATGAAAGAGAACCTTTGCCAAGAATTGTAAGCAGCTCGGTCACTAAACTTGTCTTCAAGGGAACCAGGGTCATAAGAGTAACCTTACATAGCACCCAATCTTTAGTAAATGCACAAGCATTCCTGTTCTCAGACTTTGTGAGCATTGCCTGTGAAATCTGTTTCAGTATGTTTTGCATTACAGAGTGCTACCATAAGAATTAGGGAAGAGATCGTGAAACGTTCAACCACTCCCCACATTTTCATTAAGTTGTAGGGAAGATTTTAAACAAACAGTAATAGTATATTTAATTATTATTATCTTTATGGAGTTTTGTCATGAACCCTATTATAGGAGAAATGGACTTAGAACAACTTTAAATATTTGCAAATACTAAGAGGGGGCTTATAGGTATAAACAAAGAAAGTCTATATGTTACAGCAATATTGATGGACAAGGAAGGAATAAAAAACTGTTATGATTTACAAATCAATGTTGATTTTGTGTTCAATATTTTTGCTGTACATGGTCCTGCAGGGTAGGGACTTGTTTGTCTTATTTGTAAGATTGTTTTACAGAATGTGTATATTGGGGTGGTGCTGGAGTAAAAGACATTGTCTGAAATATGGGTTGTGATCATTAATTTTTATGACCCTGTCCACACTCCTAAATGCTGTTAAAATGTTTTTTGAACTTTAAGTTTAAGTGTTGATGATGATCACATCTCTTTTTTAAGAGAAACTTTCACATCTGTTGTTGTACAAATGGAATCTATTGTAGCTGCAACAGCCATAGAAAGAGAAAGAGAAACTTAACCTCCTGACTGTAAACAGCACAAAACAGGGAGCCAAACAGTAAATTAAACTTAACAACATTGAAGATGCATTAGGAAAACAAATTGTCAGACTCTCAATCAATCCATTAATCGATATGTCCAGTGGGAATATCACTAAAGGTAACTGCAAAAAACAGAATAATAATGAATGTCTGACTGAGGGATACCTTCCAGACAGTTTTTGTAACCAAGGAGTAGGATGATTGTGCTTCTGTGTTCAAATTTTGCAATTTCTTGTTGGTTTTTTTCACTAATTAAAAATGATGGCCATTTGAAATGTATATGGAATCACACACCAGGTACAGTAGTAGCATATGACTCTCCACACAAACTTTTAAAAAATGAAGGGCAGTTTTATCTTTTGAACCGGAAAACAAAATCTCAAACATTCCCTGTAGCTGTTCCTAACTACCCCAGTGCTCTAGCCTGGCTGAGACTCAAAATTCTATATAAGACTTCAAGTTAGACTTTTTTTAAGAGAAACAATTTTATAAGCACCGTTTCCTACACTTGAAATAGAACATCAGTTATAATTGATCTTTGCATAAGTTCCCTTTTGAATGTTGTCTCGTGTCACAGATGACACTGTGTTATAATCTGTTTATATCTTCAAATATTGATACACTTTCTCGTTTCTTGTGAAGAAAAGACAGATTCTAAATATGAAACCATTTTAGGTTGAAGTGCTTAATTTGCCAGATGTCTTATTGAATGTTGTAATTACATGTTTTCATTGAGCAAATACTGTGATTTAGTGAAATAAATTCCCACTCTGCTCCTCAGATTTCTACGTACACTTGCACGTTCACTGCCTCTCTATATGACACTGGCCTGGATTTTCTCTGTGGCTATGATTGTAAAAAGCATTGTGCAAGAGAAGGAGGCACGTCTGAAGGAGATGGTGAGGATGATGGGACTGAACTATGGCACTTACTGGCTGAGCTGGTTTATCAGCAGTGTCATTCCACTGAGCATCAGTGCCCTTCTTCTCACCCTCATCCTCAAGGTGATTCAATGTAGATTCATGTTAATTCAGCGCAATAACATCCTTAAGATGGGGTACCTCTCATTTGCTTTCAATCAGAAAAATACCATACACAGCTCTGCAAAATGCTGAGAAATCTTGATACCTTTTCTGAAAAATAATTTCATCTTTAGAGTGTGATATTAAACAGTGAAAACATTCACAAAAGTGTTTGAGCAACCCATCCTAAAGATGTAGTGATGTTATGATTGAAAGCTCTCAGCAACCAAAAACTAGCTAATATTAAGTAAAATACAGATTTATATAACACGCCTTTACTTTCATATTGGATTCCTTTTCACTGACACAGAGAGATCAGTACAAAAACTTACATTATTTTTGCAGAGTCAAAGGGTTACTCTGCGTATCTTTTACTAAAATATTACTCAATTCACTGAGTTAGACTATTCTAATGCCTTTCTGGGTTATCTACTAATGTACAAAATAAGCTTCAGTATGTCCAAAGGTCTTGAAAGCATACAAATCCTATCCTAAGCAAATTGTACCCTGTGAAATGTAGAGTAGATTTTAGCATTATGGTGTCTTAAGGGCCCTTTAAGTATAACCCAGTGCTTAGTTTGAAACCTTGACATTCAGGTCTTTTGGTTCTACCTAAGACCATATTCCACACAAAAGGGGACAGAACCTCCAAAGTTGCAGCACCTCATTATGGAAATCATTGCAATTCTCTAAAATTGTTGCTAAAAAGTTTTTACCGTACTCTTTTTCTATTTCATTTCTCTCATGCGTATACGGTAATACATGCATTACGCATATCATTTTATGTTCTATGAAAAGCTAGCTGTTACAAATAAAATGCATTTTTCATATTATCCTATTACACAATAATCGGCAATAATCATAATATTTGGTTGCTGACAGTCAAATCGTGCAACACACCCCCATGAGACACCTAACTGGAGAAACTTTATTTTCTGACTTCTGCAATATTTGCCCAGTATAAAGGTCTCTCATGATTGCATGGCTATTAATTTGTAATTATAATTGTAACTATAATAAACAATCAAGCCAGTTAAAAGCATGTCTTTGATTTTTAGAAGCAACCATACAGATGTGTATTTGTCTGCCTGCACTTACAGTATATTCCCTGTTCTGATCTCTTTTGACACATGCAGTTTGGGAAGGTCCTGCGTTACAGTGACCCATCGGTCCTCTTCGTCTTCCTGGTGGTGTTTTGTATTTCGACTATAATGGAGTGCTTTTTCATTAGTGTGTTCTTCTCCAAAGCCAACCTTGCAGCTGCATGTGGAGGAATAATCTATTTTGTTCTCTACCTGCCCCATATTCTGTGCTTTGCATGGCAAGATGTCCTAACATTCAGGATAAAGACAATTGTGGTAAGTATTTCACAGGCCTGTGCTACGGACTTACTACAGTATATAGACTGCCTATGAATGGTAGAAAGTAAGTTTCTTTTACTAACGCTGTAAAAAAACTATATAATTGACAAAACTCTATGCTAATTATTTTTCTTATTATAAATAGTCTTATTGTTATTAAGTGACTAGTTCTATATTTCCTAGGTTTAATTGGCAACCATAAGCAAAAAAAGACTGAAAAGTTTTTTTTTCATATTGATGCTCTGTAAAAAAGTTTAAAAACAATATTTAGAAGAAATTAAATTGATTCCACAGTAAGAAAGGTAGTGAAATATACATACAGTATAGCTTATAGACATATTCATTATACTGTAAATAAATTTGAATTTGAGCACAAAGGCTCAAATGGTTTCATTTTTGTTTGCATTAAAACTTGCTGTCTTTTATATCTCACTCCAAACTCTGTCCTCCTGTCCCAAGTTTTACTACCATTTTCTGTTTTTCATTTTGTTTTCCCTGCCATAACATTCAATCATATTTCTTCTATTCCTCTTTCCCTCACACACCTAAAGAAGGCTACATACTGTAGCTGAAATATTTTGTTTCTAATGCTTTCATTTTCTTTTCAATATAGAATGACCTTCTACTTGTTGCTTTGGCTGACTTAGCTCCACACTCTGACTAAACATTTATTTAGTTAATAACATGATTGTAATCAGTGAAACCCAAAGTTTGACTAAAGGTTGGGCTTGTTACTTCAGACTGCTAGTACTGCATATACATTTTAAGTGACTTTGCTGAACCCCCTGTCCTTGACATGCAGATTGTAACATTTTTGCGCAGATAGATGGGCTGTTATGCTCATTTGCATGAGCAATGCGCCTCTGACCAAACTGACATCTAGTTTATCATCTCTATAGTGTATTTATGAGCAAAGTGTGCTTTATTAAAAGAAAGGGCACGATACAGACAATACATTCATTAAACGTTTTTAGCATATTGAATTGATGCAAAACAGTTTTAGTAAATATTATTGAATAGTTGTTGTCCATGTCAATATTTAATTCAGTATATTAAAACATAAAAACGTGGCATTGACATTTACTCCATCAAAATAATTTGTTTTCTGTAAACAACAGTTATTTTCATCTTCTTTAGAACTGTTATTGTTTATACTGTATTTGTTAAGAAAAAATTAAACATCCCACTTTGCAGCAGCATCATAGATCGGTAAGGTATCAGCCAAACCAAGGTCATGTCCTAAAAGGAATGTGAGCACTGCCCTTTGACACCCTTGGTGATGCTAAGTTTAAGAAAATTGGCAGGTGACCAGGGGGAGCTTGGCACAGCTTTATAATAATGTCAATGGGAAGCTCAGGAAAGAAGAGTACAGGTAGGGACTGAAGTGTGCTTACAGAGTATAATGTCTTAATATAGTTGGTGTCATTGAGCTTAAATCCTTCAGATACATTAGTGTCTGAAATAAGTTTTTATTTATTTTATAAAACACTGCGGCATGCAAAGCTCTCCCAGACTGATCATTCCCTCATCAATCTCATTAGTGTGTTATTTTTAAAACACCTCTTTTTCACATTTGCCTTTCCTTAACACTCCAATTTAAATTCAATCATAAATCTTATTAAACATGATATATTGCTTGCATAGAGCCTCCTGTCAAGTGTTGCCTTTGGGTTTGGCTGTGAAAACTTCTCCCTCTATGAAGAGCAAGGCATTGGCATTCAATGGAGTAATATTGGAGTAAATCCAGTGGAAGGCGAACGCTACAGCTTTGTGGTCTCCATCATGATGATGCTCATTGACTCTTTCATCTACTGGATGCTCACATGGTACATTGAGAATGTATTTCCAGGTACTTTCTTCAAGTTTATACTTAAAGACTTTTTGTTGAAATTAAAAACGTAAAAAAACTTTTTAGATTTAAAGATTAAAAAAATGTGCAACTCAAGTAAAAGAATTGTGAAGAAAAGAATATATCAAAATTACCCTTGTATACCGTGTAAAAATAGACATCATAAACCCACACTTTCAAATCCCTGATGCTCAGAAGTTTCCAGCTGCAAGATCCTTTGAAAAATCTCATTACAGAATTAGCTCCCACTTTACTTCCATCTCACACTGAGAGAGGATTGTGGCTGTCTTTACCACAGAATCAGACTAATCCAAATAGCGATTGAAACTGTGGAAAGAAATTCAAAGAAGTAATGTGTTATTAAGCACCAACAGAGCTTTACAGGAGAAATTAAATGGGTGTTAAAGCTTTGTAAAAATAATACAATTGAATTGCTTTGGTAAATAAGAGAGTGCCTATAAGGAGACTTTATATACTGTAATACAAGTCTATATACTGTACTTGTACAGTATATAAAGTATTACAGTATATGTTAGTTTAATAATAATGTAATGTTTCTTTATTAGCCCTACACAATTTCTTGCATTAGGAATGCATCTTTTCACATACCCCAGCTTTTCTCTATGGAGACACAGACACAGAGACAGGGAGAGAAGCTTGGGGTCAGAGCGCAGGGTCTGCCATTGTACGGCACCCCTGGAGCAGTTAGGGTTAAGGGCCTTGCTCAGGGGCCCAACAGAGTAGGATTCCTCTGCCGGCTGTGGGATTTGAACCAGCAACCTTCCGGTCACAGGCACAGATCCTTAACCACAGAGCCACCGCTCTATACTAAACAAACAATGTTAAAATACAAATTCCTATGTCATACTGTGATAGACATATGCACATTTTGGAAGTGGGAAAAATTCAAAAAACTAAATTCCAAAATGCTGTTGTCAGTAATGAAACCACAAAATGAAACGCAGTTTAACAGTCATAGCATACTGAGCTTAATATTAAATTAAAGCTGAGATTGATAGCTTATTAATTCATTTTACTGGTCCCTGCTTGAATTTTAATTCATTCTCAATAAGTAAATGCACTAAATTTATTCTCAAGAGCTGCATTAAAAGCTTGCACATTCCATATTGTTGGGGGTACCACATATCCTCCGTAGAAGCAACATTTGAAAGCCACCTTCCTCCCACGCAACAAAATTAATTATAAAGATTTTTGAATTGTCATGAGAATGGAGGGAAGAACATGAATGTACACAATTATACTAATTTGCGTAAGATTTACAGCTTTAAATTAAAAAGATCTCACGTAGCAGGTCATGCTGTAAGACGTAAAAAATGTATGATCTAGAGTTACAGACAATCTAAATTCTGGCATTGCTAGTTTTAATCAAGTACACAGGTCATATCAAATTAGGAGTATTACCAAAAAATAGGCAGAAAATGTAAAACTCAGATACAATTAAAGGCAGGCCAAATACTGTACCTAACAGATGACTTTTAACAGACATGTGCAAGGAATTGTATGCAGGTATCACACATACTGTATAAATTATAGATGTACAGTACTATAAGATGGGTAAATCTAAGCTTGTAGAAGATATCTTGTACTGTGGAGACTTGTACAGCAAGACTTGCATATTTCGATATTCTACTAGCAAAATCTCTTTTAGAATATTGTGTTCAATTTTGGAGACAATACATTTTTTTATGGTTCTCTGTAATCAACATTTTTGTTCTCAAAAGTATGTGGGCTACTTTCTCCTACCAAATGTGCTAACTGCGTAGATTGATTATAAAATAAAAAATGTTGCCATGTTACAATAGTCTCATATGAAAAACAAAATGTTTGTAGATTTCCTTATATTTATTACTTAGTGGAAGCCTCATCTTCTGCAAAGAACAAAATTAACAGTATCATAATAAATGTGTGCATAATACTGTATGTGTTTCCAACTTTCTATATTCATTTCGAAGGGGAGGGACTATGGAAACTAGCATATTTGAAAATCAGTATTTTCTTTAAATGTATGCGCCTACTACATTTTAACTAGATTTTAACCTCCTGATATAATGCCTGTTAGATCATATTGAGTCTGTCAGATTTGAATTTGGGTGTACAGTATATACATTACATATGTATGGTCATCAATCACTGAATTAACTGATCAGACTAGAAGAAGACAAGTGCTTCATCTCTGGCATCTACAGTATTGAGAATGGCTTTATATTTCATTCCAGGTCAGTATGGAATACCGAGGCCTTGGTATTTCCCTTTTACAGCATCTTATTGGTGTGGACTGTCAGCAAAATCATATGGAGACCCGGATGTATTAATGTCTTCTGGATATCAAAATGGTAAGGAAAGCATAATTTGTTTTTAGCTTTATTTTACTTAATAACTGAACTGTACAATTTAATTTTACCTTCATACAATTTTATATACAGTACAGATTTCCGTGTACACAAATAGGATGCATATACAGTGTATACAGTGTTCAGTGGATTACTGATATAATGTAATATAATGGATATGGTGCTGCAGCCTTTACATACCCTGAAAAGCCAAGGAGTCAGCAGTGGAACAGGAAATTGCCTATTAGTAATGAATATATTCTGCCAACCCAGATGTTAGATGCTTTTTTTTTTTAAAAAAAAGGACTCATTCAGTTTTTTCTGTGTTTTCTATATTTTTTTTGTAAACAAAGTGGTTATGAATATACAATATACTTTTTCATTCTCAGGAAACAAACCACACTTGCTTAATCAGTGAAATAAGGCATCATAGTTTTGATCCATATTAAAGTACTACAGTAGTCCTGTATGTTGTGTATCCATCTTGTCACACTTCTATAACCTGTGATGTTTTTCATTTGTTTGGTAAAAAAATGTTCATGATCTCAGTGCCTGTGATACATCTGACCTTTTTCAACACCCTGCAAATTTACAGCTGTCATCTGTCTTTTGTGGTCTTGCAGAGTTTTTTTTTCACTTTTTGAAACATTATTATTGGATAACAAAATGCACCTAAAATTGTTGAATAAATAATGATTTCACAAGACCAGTTTTTTCTTTAAGCCATTTCATGATCACCATTGGACTAAAGCACCAAATAACAGTGTAAATCAAACCAGCTTTTTTCTACACTTTTAATTTTGAATGCATTGAAAAGTTTAATGTTTTATTTATTTTATATCATCATGTCATGATCATGTCCATTAGACGTGATGAATTATCCTATCAAAACTTTAATTCATAGGTTTTTGAAAGGCAGCACTGTCTACTAACTTCTGCTATGTCACATTTGTCAAAGTAAAACAAAAGCAAGGGATCAAATACGTCTGTGAGCCATTGTACATGTACTGAAGGTATGCTCCCTGATGCTCTGTCAACATCTCTCTATCTCTTTCTGCCTTTTATCATTTGTCCTAAATCTGTTTTTAGATATATTCTCAGATTTTGCTCAGCCTAGCTTTTTTTTCTGAATATTAGGCTTTCTAGAACCAGTGCCACCCAATCTAAAACCAGGGGTCTCTGTGAGGAACCTTGTTAAAATCTACAAGACTGGCAAGAAGGTGGCAGTGGATGGACTCAGTGTTGACTTTTATGAAGACCAGATAACCTCTTTCCTTGGTCATAATGGAGCAGGAAAAACTACCACAATGTAAGACATTTTTTAAATATGCGACAATGCAGATGGCTGGAATGCAAAGTATTTTTATGAGGGGAAACCACAGTGGTGAAAGCAATTCTTCACTGCTGTATAAATGATCATTTTAAGTGCTTTTGTTTTGATTCATTTTGCAGAACACTGAATAAAACTACACTGAATGATACTGAATGAAGGTTTTTAAAAAAGAACATACTGTAGATGGACACATTTTAGATTTTCAGTACCACATTTTAACAGAAAATATAATATGTTTAGTATATTGTATAACATGTTGAACCTCTATGTTAACCAAATGCAGAACATAATGTCCTTTCTCAATAAACAATAGTCGTTTGCAGAATTGTTAAATGTTTTTGTTTCCATTTTCTTAACTTTATGTCTTCATAAGTTTATTTTTATCGTTAGCGTTATTATTTACTGAAACTGACTTTTATTTATTGAGCTATTTTCCAATGCAATAGATAAAAGAAGGAGACACACACATAATCACAATGTTTAGGGAGTATATCCCTGATCTACTGTATTTTGAGTCTTTGTACTAATATATGAAATGCTGATTTACAGTAAGTGATTATACTTTTACAGGTACAGTAATTATTTTTGTTATTTCTAGGTCAATTCTGACAGGGCTGTTTCCACCAACATCTGGCACAGCTTTAATCAATGGCAAGGATATTCGAACTGAGATGGATGATATCAGAAAACATATGGGAATGTGTCCCCAGCACAATGTTTTATTTAATGAGTATGTACACTTTAAATAATTACCCCTTTGTGTTCTTAACACACCATACCTAAATTATTTTAACAAACAGAATTAAATTGATTTCTGAATATATTTGGTTAAATTTAAGATCAACAGAGTTTTGTGCATAACATTACAGAGAATCCATAAATACGTTTTAGAGGTCTTTCCTACTGTGTATATATATAAAAAAAATTCTTTGACATTGGGATTTACACAGATTTGCACTCGCTAGAAAAGCTTTGCTCCCCCCAAAAAAAATTGTTGTTTACAGATTGTTCACCTTGTTTATTGCTTCACAAAAGCTAGTGACTTACATATTCTTCTGAGACTTTCTCTCTAGTGAACTGCATGATTGCTAAATCCCAATATTGTGTAAAGAGAGCAGTTTCAGATACATACATGGTGAACTGCACATGTTGTCATTAACTCAAAGCAATTTATCATCATAGGAAAAGTTACACGTTATCCATTTTGCCCACTTTGTTGTAAAACATTCGTCTCTGTCTGATGCAGACCTAAAATAAGTCTTTTGAGTCTATTTTTCCTCTGGTGAGATTTCAGTTGAGGCTGGTCCTTTGTTCACTTTACCCAAGATTAAATCTCAGACTTGGTGATTGTGCCTTTCCTGTCTCTGCTCCACTCCTCAGAGTCTGTGACAGACAGATTTCTTGACACTCTTCAAATCTGAACTGAAATTTCAACATTTTAACAGGACCTTTGTCTGATTGCCTTAGATTCTATCTGTATAAACTTGTATGTTGTTCCTCCAATGTAATGTTTAAACTTTGGTATTTTTTGACTCTCAAAATTATCACCAATTATCCTTTGCAGTAATTACATTATACCATTTAATTTATACATATATGAAAGAAGACAGAAGTCCACGCACCTAATTATACATGTTCTACAAATACTTGCGTCCCAAAAAAGTATCTTGTCAAAATGTTTTCAGGAGTTTGATTTTATAATTAAAAGTTAAAATTGAAAATATACAGTAAATGAAAACATAAAGACAAAAAAAATCAAAAATTACAAACCACCAAAAAGAAAGAAATGTAGTTAACATAGACCGCGTACAGAATATATTAAACACCTCAGAATGTATTTTCACCTATAATTAATAATTAGCCAGCACTAAAAGATTAAACTAAGTTCAGTATTATGCAATATAATACATGTGAAGAAAAGTTAGATCTCAAATTCCCTTTTAACTCTTTTCATTAAATATAAAATAACTACTTTTTTTGTGAATGTGGCAGCACATAGCATAATTAGTGCTTTTGAATTTGCATGTGCAAAACACACTGATTTGACAGTTAATGTATCCTAAGTTACAGTCAGTTAAACCACCAGTAACAATGTACTGTAACTGTCATGATTGTAATCCCTCCTCTTAAGGGTGCACCGGCTCTTTAACATTTTTGATTATTTCATGCACCTGCCTCCTTATTTAAGCTGGGCGCTCTCGTTACTCTGGGCTCTGCATCGGAAGACAGACGCCCAGAGGCTCGCCTACCATCAAGTCGCCCTACGTCCACGACTTGAGGGCATAGATCTCCTATTTGTATCCTGACCCATCTGAGTCCAGGGCTCAGAGCGCCTGGCCTCGTCATCCTGTTTTTTTTTCCTTGTCAGTGTACTGGATCCCATTCCGGTTTTTAACTCTGTTTTGTCACGTCTCATTTGGATCACCCGGTTTTGGACTTTTTCCCCCCTGGACTCCTTGGATTTGTTCACCCTGGCTACGCCCCCTGAGCACCAGTTCACCATCTTCCCACCCCCCTGTCTGTTAACCCCTCCTGATCCTCGTCGTCTACTCCCCGTCATTCTTTTCCACTTACTTCTGGATTATACCGTCTGCATAGGTCCAGAACTACACTCCAGGGGAGCCTGGACCGTACAGTAAAAGTCACTGTAGCTTGATACAGTTACATCATAAACCAGCATCACCAAGCTATACAACTACAACTGATTAATCAAAAAGTTGCAGTCCCACAAGAAAAGTCCCTAACAGGTTTTCTGATGTCTATGTAACAACATTGTTAATACTGTTTTCATACAACCAGTGTCAGTCAACCTTTTGTCACGGTCGTCATCCCTGCTCTTAAGGGTGCTCCGACCCTTTCGTATTTTAGTTCATTACGTGCACGTGCACCCTGTTTAGTCTGCCACTATTTAAGACTGGCGCTCCCACTATTTCTCGCTCAGCATTGGAAGATGGCTTACGGGTAGCCCGAGGGCAGGCCTTATTCCCTGGCGTCCTGACCGTCTGAGTCTGGGGCTCGGAGCGCCTGGCCTCATTACTTTGTTTTAACTCCTTGTTCCTATTCTGGATCCCATTCTGAATTTTAACTTAAAGAATGAGTACATCAGTGTCATAGATGGTACTTACTTTATATATGAGCCTTTACGTATTCCCACAATATTAGGTTATCATCTCAATTTTTATTTCAGTCAGCTGACTTTGCACAATCTGCAATGGAGTAAGTTTTCAACTCATGGATGTCCTCTTAACTTAATGGCTGTAACATTCCTCCTGAAATGCTGTAGTGCAATTTGTCACATTTAAACTTTTGCACAAATACATCTGATCTCATGATCTTGTGTCACTGGCTGCTCAGTGACAAACTATTGTTCACATGGAGTGCAGTATTCTCAGTAGTTTAAACATTTTTAGGGGGAAAGTTTATGATTCGTCAGTTCTACAACATTTTGTAGAGAGCAATATACTGTAGCATCTCAGTAAAGACAAGTGTTCACAAAGCAAAAATAGTACAGTATATGAATGAATCTACTGTCATCCCTAAATGTTTTTAGGAATGTACTGTAAAAGGATAAATATCTACAGCTTTTTGTAAAAGACCAAAAAACATTTATACTCTTTTGCACTGTACTGGTCACTTTTTACTGATTATAAGAAATTTCACAACAAAATGTTAACTTATTAATGTAATAAATACTACATATAATTTAGTAGTGACATATAATAATACTTCACTGTTTATATTTTTCCATCATATTTTTCTTAAATAGGTCCACTCTGGCTTTTTCAAAATTTTGACCTGTAGTAAGGTACAATATTGGTTTTTCATGATATTCCAGGTTCACAACTCAGCAGCAATTATTTAAAAATAGCCCCAAAATTCAGGCAGGGTCTAATTTATAAGTACAGTATATTGAAAAATGGGGCATGCCTTTGGTCCATTTGAAATACCTCTCCTAATCTGTGGTGCATTGTTTGCAAGGATCTACAGTATTTAAGGTATGATCGACACAGCGAATGCACATAAGAAATCAGATTAAATTATGTTATTGACAAAACATGGATACACCCAACTTAATCTCATCCAACATTTAATATGTAGTTCCTCTGGTAAAGTATTTACAGTACAAAAGTGCATACGTCTTCTGTAGCATGTTGTGGTAATCAAGCATGAAGTGGAATGAAAGTTCTAATTTCTGATAGATACAGCACCTGTTTCATTGGAAAAAGTGCTAGCCAGTATAACTATGTAACACAAGCTGTTTCATTTCTAGAATGACGGTGGAAGAGCACATTTACTTCTATGCACGATTAAAGGGGAAAAGTTCAAAGGAAGTAAAAGGAGAAATGGACCAGATAATAAAAGATGTTGGCCTGCCACATAAACGAAAGGATTTGGTCAAAAACCTCTCAGGTACTTGGCAGTTCGTTTTTTATTATTAATTAATCCTTCCTTTCTTATTCAGAAGATCAAACAGAGTTGATAATCTTCTTTTATGAAATGACCTTTACTTAACAAAGAAGTCCTACTGAGTATGTAATCTCTTTTAAAACAGATGTGTTTGATAAATTGACATTACAGAAGTGCTGTAATGTGAACACAATGTTTTAAAAATTTATTTTCAGGTAATAGTGGATTATGATTGATCTACACTTGACATTTACACTGTGTTATAAAATGTGATTCTATTTTCATGTTGTATATATTGAAATATTTAAACTAACACATTTTTCTTCAAGCTTTTTACAGCAGGTCTCTTAAGTTCTCATAATAGTTAGCTTTATACAACTTGAATAAACTAAAGTTCTTAGTTAGAAATCTCCCAAAGTTTTCTTGCAACAGCACTAATAGACAAATGCCTCAGTTTTCTAGTTCTCCTGCTACTGTATCTTGCAGTCATACCAAGAAGAATAACTCTTTATGTTCTATGATCTATTTTGCATATGGCAGTCACTGTATTTAAGTAACAAGGGGACACAGTTACAGAGAACATACAGTTCCTCATTGAATTATTCTGATTCTCTCAGACATTATTCACTCATACAGGACTTGTATGAGTGGTTTGTAGTGCAGACAAGATCCACTGCAGCTGCATGTCACAATTCTTCATACAGTATGTCTGCCACAGAGTGGCAGATCGTCACCGCATAACCAATACTAGTAGCCACTCCACAGCTGTAACAGGTTTCTACTTACTCTGAATTAGTGAATTAGTATTAATGAAACTTCAAAGTGCACTTTTTCTTTAATCACATACCTAATCGTACAGAAGTACCGTATTTTTATAAGGTAATAACTAAAACCACTAGAACTGCCCAATTCCCATCTGAAAATGGTCAGCTCCTTCTTTCTATAAATGAGCTGATCAGCTACAGTTTGTAAATATATACGTAGCATGTTCAAAGATGACATTTCAACATATTTGGGGTGATCACTAGTCCATAAACTGCCAATCATTGTGATTGGGTCACTTTTGTCTTGCAAGTTACCCTACCATGGTGTAGAACACAGGTCAATCCGCAAGTTTAGATCCCAAAGAAAGATTGATTCACTAATTCAGTTATTTAGTCCAAGTTACTCGAGTTTGTGATAGTCAGTCTAATGATCAATCAAAATGACACAAAAAATACAATCTGTACATTTTATTTATAAAAACACATTTACATGTATAAAAAGTGATACTTTTCTTTGGATTCTCAATATATACTGAGAAACTGCCTGCAGTCTAAGCACAAACTTGATTAGAGTTCTTTCCTAGTGATAGCCAATTCAGCCAGAATTGTTTTGGACAAAGCACATTTTAGTCTAATCAAATTTAGATTGAAATTTAGATTCCAGTATTTTAATTCATTTCTGTGCAAACAGGATTCTTTATATTAAAGGCAAATTCATCTATACTATTAAGCAGTAATATTGTGCTTACGTACTATAGCCATGTTTTCTAATCTCAAAAAAGATGTGATATACAGTATATAGCAGGAAATTGAATACAAGCATAACTGAAATTGGCAACTTTATAAAGAAAATATACAGATTTTGTTGTTAGTGCTAAACTCCTTCCAATATGGATGTTTTTGTCAATAAAGTTGTAGCATTTCATTTAATTTTTCTGTAGAATGCTGCAGTTTATTAAATGAAACTTATGAAAAATATACATCATGTTAGTTAATATGACAACATTTAAAATTTATTATAATATTACTCTGTTAGTGGAACTGATACACAGTTGCTTATATAGCACAGTAAATTCACATAGTAAAATTACTAATGTTTCTTATCCTATTTTAGCAATAATGAGCATTTCTGGGAGAGCTAAAAGTGTAATTTATCTCCTCAACATTATTTTTGACAGGAGGAATGCAAAGGAAATTGTCAGTTGCGATTGCATTTGTTGGAGGATCAAGAATTGTAATCCTTGATGAGCCAACAGCTGGTGTGGACCCTTATGCCAGGAGAGGAATATGGGAACTTTTGTTAAAATACAAACAAGGTATTTCAGAACAGATTCAGAAGTATTACTTTTCTTTTACAATTTTATATTCTACTTTTTGGTCATGCTCTACAGTCCTATCATGAATAAAACCTGGTTATAATTTGTTAACAGTACTATATTGTAAGTGATACTGTATATAATCAAGGCTATGTATCTCAGTAACACATAATGTGTTAGGTATTTTATGGAATCTGGATGGCACAAGACACCATAGGCCATGGTGATAAGTAGGGTACCGTACACAAAATAAACCATACATAAGTGTAGACCAAACAGGAAATATTTTTATTCAGGTTTTCACACAAAGCACCAGTGCTCAGAATAAAAGCAAAACAAAAAACTGTCTCTTTGTTTAGAGCACTAAACAAAAGAACTAAGAACAGAACATCTTTAGTTTTATCTCTTTGTGGTTTGTGGAGTTATTCTACTTTTTTACTCTCATGAAACAAAAAATAGTCTGCTCTCCTGTGCACAAAATAAACAGGCTATACTGTCAGCTTTTTCACTCTAAAAGTAATCAAATGAGCTGGGCTCGCACTCTCTCTACTCCAAAAAACTTGTTTTTATTAGAACTTGTCGAACCTGTCAACACTTTGGCATACACAAGCCTTCAACGGGGCACCAGAGAGTGTACGCCCAGTTCATTTTGTTAGTTTTACTGGACAGCACTCCAACAATTTTGGATGTGTGTTCTTCTCTTCTCTTTTGTTGTTGCTTCTTCTCTCGATCTACAGTTTGTATCCAGCTAGCTTTTATGAGCTTTGGCTTCCATCTCTCTGAGGACAGCTTTCTTTCTCTTATTTATCATTTCTCTGCAGTCAGCTTTGGACAGACCTTTCTTAACCCTTTCATCCTGGTATTTTTCATCTAGACCAGAGGCAACTTTTCAGTAGGTGTGTGACAAGAGTTACTTTAGTTAATGCACTTATTTTTTATGGATTTGCATTCCATTGATACTTTGCTTTTAATATCAATAATAGCCCTACTTGCATTTTGATAAAAAAATATCGTCATATAATATCTTAACTTAATCAATGAATATGCACATCTTGCCATTTAGTGTGATCCTTTCCCTTGCTCCATTCTTAGGCTTGTACTGTAGCTCGAGATTTTAAGCAGCACATGAGCCTCTGAGTGTTCCGTTGTTAACGAGCCAGAGGTGGAACAAAAAACTGAGTTAATGTGTGAAAATACCTGTTCACACAGATATCCTGTTCCAAATGCTGAAAGATGATAGACATGAGGTAATCACATTCTGTGTTTTGCTGCTCTGGGAATTTGAATTCCATATCTCTGATCACTGCAATTCAATTAGCTGTATTTCAAAATCCTTAACACTCATCCACTGGAACACCGCAAAATCCATGTCACTGGTGTCAAAGCTGTCTGTTTTAATCAGAAAAGAAAACATTAGGTCAAAATGCTGGAACTCCTGCAATTCGGCAGAAAATTCTGATGCCAGTTCTTGCATGAACACTCCAAACACAGCAAAATGGATCATGTTTCAAAAGTTCTTTCAGATGCTGGAAATGGTGTGAGGTTGAGATGTCAATGTCCTGAGAAAAAATGGCAAGTTTTGCAAGAAATGCCTTTCACGTTTCAACAGGACCCATAACAGTTTGATGTGCACCCTACAGACAGAGGTTGAGTTCATACTGTACATACGCGTAGTGATACATTAGTCTTGTAACCAATTTCTCATCATGCAGGTCTGGGCAGTTTTGACATTTTCCTGACAAAATTGCATCAAGACAGTTCACAAAGTGTGCCAAAACAACCCCACATGATTCTTTAATTTGCCTTTTGTGGTTTGATTGTTCCTTACATGGAAATTAGTGAAGTCACTCCTTTATTTTCCATACCTTGGAATGGCTCATTTCAGGCTAGTCTGCCTCATCCTTGAAGTGTTTGTCACGTTTTGTCTGAAACCATGTAACAAATGATGCTCACACAACATAGGGCACAAAGACTTTGATCTTTATGTTGAACAAATCCATATTCATCTTTCCAAAAGGACTCAAATGAGCAAACATCTAACTTTGCAACTGCCATCTTGTCCAAAATGTTTGACTTTACAGTTAAGTTTAAAAAATGAGGCACGGGTTGCAAGCCTTCCTGTGGAAACAAAAGGCCAGGCTCACTAAAAACAATACAGCAAATAATCCAAGTGAATTATTTTTTTTCTATACCAAAGGCTTTCATTGTGTAGCATGTTGTAGAGAATTATAGCACAGTTAGCATAGTTTTTTTTATCATTTTTAACTTAATATCATGGACTTTTATTGTATCTGCCCGTAAAAATATCTTTGCATGTCAGTAATGGTGCATTTGCTATACAGTAGGTTGCAATAAACCAAAATGTGTGTTAGGAACTTTCACTTTGAATACACATTTAATAGTTAGTCCAACAGCACAGAATTTCTTACTTCATAACATGTAATATGCATGTTGTCCTTACACAACAATGCACACAGAAGTATAAGGTCTTCAAGCAGAGGTTCTTAACTCCAAGGTGAACAAATTTGACAGTACTTCCCCGTTCCATGCCCTGCACTTGACTGCCTGAGAAATATTTTTCTTTCTTCTATCAACTTTTTGTTCTATTATATGAAGTGCATTAGTAACAGACTGAATGCAGCCCTAACCAAATTTTAATCAAGACTAGTGACTTCCCTCCATGCAGAGAAATCAGAAGTAGTTCTATTTATGGTGTACCTTTTAAAATGAAGCAGAACTAAGAATGATTTGCTCCATTTAACTGGTGGTTAGTTTAATCATCATAAGAGGCATTCCAATATATCATCACCACATTTTACAAGAAACATGTCCTTGTAAATATTATAATTCTTTAACTAGTTCTTCTGTAACTTAATTAGTTTGTGACTGATGCAGTTTCGAGCCAATGCAAATACCAATACAACATTACATGCTGTATGATACTGATGATATTAAAATACATAATTATATTAAATATATTGATTACTAATTAGTTTATCCACAATTCTGAAAAACTACTATCACACTTGTTTATATAGATCTCCACTCTGCATTTTTGTTTCAGAAAGAGCTGTTCTTAGGAAGGTTTTTGTTTTGTCGAGGAGCTAGGGTACAGGAGTAGTTATCTGCACTAATCCAATTCATATGTTAATGAGAGCTGATTCTGTACTAATTGGATGTTCTTTAATTATAAAAAGCATGGGATATCAATAGCCACAAAATTGTAATTACATTTTTCTGTTAATATGAAAATTAAAAAGAATCTAAAAATTAAAAAATAGAACTTAAAGTTTGACTAAAACAGGGTCAAGAAAACGCAACAAAATCATTACCAATTACATATAACATAATTATACTAATTTACTGGGAAAACAAGCGGATGTTCTAATTTGAAAGTGGAATTAGGCATTACATTTAATTCAGCATTTTAAGGCATTATTGAGTCCACAGATTACTCCACAGACTGGGGGACTCAAACAGCATAAGAAAAGGACAGGTAACTCTTTGTGATAAATTAAACTTCACACAGGGTGTTTTAAATTTTTTATGGTTTGTAAATCTTTCAAGAGAAATAGTGATTAGCTGATAAGAGATAGGGATAATGGCAGTAAATCAATCAAACGGAAACCATCATTAAATAAGCAATCTGCAATTTATGGGGGGAAAAAGTCAATGAGTGCTAATTAGTTTTTATCAGTCTTGACCTGGAGCTGTGTGTGCTAGGGCCTCCCGCCTACTATTTCATTAGAGACTTCTAAACATTGGCATCTTCAATATGTTTTCCTTCTGTCCCTCGGGACCAGTTTAGTTTCTTCACAGGCAATTCAATTATCTATTGTAATGTGTTATCTGTAACTTTCACGTCAGCGTGTTTTATATGATTCATTAAATAAATGTTTTTTTTTGCGCTTCTATGGATGGAAACTGCACTTTGACAGGAGAAAGTGACCCTAAAATAGTGGTGAGGCTGTTTTGTGCAGTCCTTACGTGATAAGGAGACAGTTTTCATTATTTCTTTTAGTAAAAATAACAAAATGAAGGACAAACAAGGAGTTTAAGGCAAAGGAGTAATTAAGTGGCTGAGTTCTCTATTGACACAAATTATATATTACTGTTTCCCCATGTTAAATTGCATAGATGTGTAGCACTGTAGACATTGTAGTGTAACATTACATCTGCTGTCTGATATGCTGAATTGAAAACGTAATGTATTCTGTGTTTAACCACTAATTTGGTGAACAGTTTTCTTGTTTATTTGTTACTGTATGTTAGTTTTTTTAGTTAAAACAAGGATGGCTTCTCATTAACCATCACTCTAAAAGCTAAAGTTTTGCAAACTATGGGTTGTATAATGAGCTTTATTGCCAAATAAGTCTTATATCCTGAAATTTGTGAGGTTCTTTAATAATATTTCTTATTTAATTAATTTTAGCTCCTATCTACAACTGTAATGATCCAAATTCAGCTGTCGATCTGTCCATATTTTAAATCTAACAGTACAGTAGATATTAAAAAATGATAGTGCTTTGCAAAAACATTTGATAATTTTGCTTTTAGATGTTTTAATTCATGTTTTGAATGTTAAAGTTAATATTTATCATTAAAAATGAATTAAAGGTTAATTAAAGGTTTCTCTTAGGGTTAAAAATCCTTTTAAAAATTAAGACTTGAAATAGGCATTATTATGAAATGCATATTTCATTATACCAATCTTCCGATATGCTAAAACTCAGTTTTAAGATAGAGCTAAAATATATATTTATTTAATCATATTGAAACAATCTGCAGTGCTAATATAACACATTCAGTTGAGTTTTGTCTAAGTATAATGTCCTAATTGTCACAGAGTCCTCACAGATATTAATCATTATGGATTTAGTACATCAGAACAGACAAAAACAACCATTAGGCATAGAAGATAATAAATAAATAAAAAAAGAGAAGTCTAAAATCTCTAAGGATCCAAGGCCTAATGGTTTTGCCCACTCCCCACCAAGCAA